CCCCGCAGAGTCCTACCTTCTTCCCTCCTAGTGTCAGACTGATGGCCCCGCAGAGTCCTTACCTGCCAAGAAGGTGCAGCAGCGGGAAGGCAGGACTTCGGTTTTTCCATCTTTACCACTGCACATTGGGATAAACTAAGATACCCTTTTATGGTGGTGGTTCTTTTTGTGAGTCTTCACAGAAAGGTACATTTTGTGGCCTAAAGATGAATAAATAAGGTTGTCTTTTTTTTTTTTTTCTTTTTAAGTAGCCTGTGAAGTCCTTTGTGCTTTTTACCTGCCAAGATAATTGTTGGGTTTTTTGTTTTGTTTTGTTTTGTTTTGTTTTTTAATAAGAAAGCTCAACTTACAAAAATCATTGTTAATTTGCTGCTGTGCACGGCAGTTGGCTTGGGGAAATTGCTAGTGCTGCGTGTTTTTGAATTTTATTGTTCAGAAGCAGGTATTGTGAACAAAAGCTTGGTAGTTGTATTGTCATCTGTGACTGTTTTTTTAAAGAACTAGAATATTTCCCTTTCTGGGTGCTTATGATTGCCGGCCAGATGCTGAAAGGTTTATCTGTGCCACTGGAGAAGGTCCCTTCAATTCCGACCTTCTCAATACCATTGTAAAATCATTAATAGGCAACAGAGGATAATGGTGGTTTAGAACAGTGTTTCTCAAGCTCTCTTTTTTTTTTATTTCTTCCCTGACAAAAGCCTTTTAAAATAGTTTTTCCTAATTGGCCTCTACCTCCATGAAATTTTAATTCCACAGATATACTGTATTTCTGTTTACGTATTCCATGTATATCTGTGTTTTATACATACAGAGTGAGGTATTTTGTGTGCCTCCTTACCCCAAAGAGTTGGTGTTTGTCCTCTTGAGGTGATACTGTCTACATTGGGAATGCATGGTTTACAGCAGTGGATTTAAGGACTTGCATATTCTCTAAAATTACTGAGGACCCTGAAGAACTTTCATTTATGTGTGTTATACCTAGTAATATTTATCCTGTTACAAATGAAAGCTGAGAAAAATTGCAATATATTAATTTTTAAAAATATTTTATCAAAAATAACCATCCTTTCCCTCACCCCCGCCCACCACCAAAAAGGTTTAGTGAGAAAAGTGGCATCGTTAGACATTTTTGCAAACAGCAAGATTCTCATAGTTGGCTCTGCATTTAATCTGTTACAAAAGAAAAACTGGTATCATACAGATGGGTCATTGGAAAAGGAGGGAATGTTTTAACAACCTTTTCAGATAATAGAGATCTTATACCAAAACTTGGCAATTTGTAGTTTCTTAAAGGGTTAGTTGCATTCTAGAATCTCAAACTGTATATAAAAAACTTTTGTCCCATTACTTGAAAATTCATTGGTCTTTCACTTTGAAGGGATCCTTTGTTGATGAATCATTTTGTGCCGTCATACATTGGTCCCTGGAAAATACTGGTTCTCTGACTTACACAGATCTTGCAGATGTTGATACAGTACCAGCCACTCACATGTCATCAATATCACTACTGATCTTACCAGAAACTCTACAAATTGGAGATACTTGCCAAGCTTTTTTTTTTTTTTTCTTGAATGTGGTCCTTGGCAATAAATGCTGTTATTTTTCTTGAAGTGACAGGCTCACTTTGCTCATTTTTGAGAAAGTGTCTGCTGTAGACACAAGTCTAAATAACCAGACTTTGCCAGTTGTTCCTTGAAATGCAAAACCTCTTCCATGAAAAAGGTGACGGGCAGCTTGCAGCCTGAGCAGTTGAGCAGGTGTCTCTCCTTCTCGCCCTCTCCACGCTTCTGTATGCAGCAGGCGCACTCTGCAGACTTCCAGTCACCCTGAATACTACCAAGACGTGTGTTCAGGCTCAAGATGGGATGAAGTTGGTTGTGTTGCTGTGAGAGCGTGGTGAGCGGGGTGCAGCTAGTCTTGGGGCTGCTCTCCTGATAGGGCTCCCGGCATGTGACCACTGGTGCACAAGGCAACATGGTGGGAGGGGCAAATAGCCAGTTAGCGTTAGCGTGGAAACGGTTCTGACCTCCCTGGGGGTCCACGGAAGCACCCTTGGAGAAACACTAATTTCGAACAAGAGCTTTGAGCCGGACTGCCCGAATGGAGTCTGAGCTCCATCACGTATTAGCTGCATGCCTGACCTTGGGCAGTTACCCTGATAACCAACACCAGACAAACACACTGTCCCCCGGGAACAGAGGCCACAAATCCCCACAGAATGTTTGCCATTAGCTTTTCTATCCCATCTTTGGTATTTTTTTTATTTGATACGTATATTTATAGAATTACCAAAGTAGCCCATACAGAGAGAGAGCAGAACAGCCAAGATTGGATTCTGAAGTGATTTGCCATCATGGAGTAAGAAAGAGGTTTGTCAACATCCCAAATTGTATTCCCGGGCTAAAGTTGTAAATGTTCTCAGTAGTTTTAGGATAGTTCTTTTTAAAGGCAAATGCAAGACCAGCTGCCTTGTTTTGTAATCCTGTCAAATGCATTATTGTTCTTGGTTCTGAAATTTGCGTTAAGGACGCCACCCCCACACCCCCAACGGTCTTTTCAAGCAATTTACATAAAGAAAAAATCTGTCAGTGATAAACGTTGAATGCTTTCCTTCATTGTTGATCTATTCGGGACAACTTTAGTGGCAAAACCTTGTCCTCATTTGGTGGTTCTTATCCCTTAGGGTCTTTGCAGAGACTTGTCTTTAAATACACATACACCCTTTTTGGAGTAACCTTCATTTCATTTGGGAGGGTTTTTTTTTTTTTTTAAATAGTCTGTATTACCTTCTGTCATGTTACTCATGCCAAAGGATCCCTCACTCTGTGGGAGAAGTGGCACATGGGGCTCTTCCATCTGCTGTGATTGATGACCGCCTGTGTGTGGTTTCCAGACAGCCCTGTGTCATGGCCGCTCTTTCATCTTAAATAAATATTTCGTTCCCAATTAGGCAAGTTGTACCTTCATTTAAGAGGATTTTAAAAGTTCAAAAAATGTGCAAATCAGAAGGCACCATTAGCTTTGCCGTCCTAGGATACATTCTTTCCTGTCCTTCTTGATGACTGTAGATTCTTTTTGTCCTGATTGACAACATATCATATATATATTTCACGTTTTGTCTTTTCATTTGTTATCAGCATTATCCTCCACCAAAAAGTCTACTAAAATGTTTTAATAACCCATAACTTTTGAAAAAAACTCATTCTCCTGATGTTGAGCATGTATTTGAAATTTACCAACATTATCAGTGGTGCTGTGGACCACATCCCTTGTGTGTTGGTCTTTCTTCTGACCAACCCTAGGTGTTCCGTTGAAGACCCTGAAGGGGAGTGACTGATTCTGAGGGCAGTTTTGTAAGGCTCTTACAGTGAATTGCTAAATTGTTTGCCAGAAAGTTTGGGCCAGTTCCTCATTTCCCCCGCATTCTGCCCATTTCTTCCTGTCTTCACCAGCATTGGTATTCTGTAAAATGCTTTTTAAACAGAATACATTATACAGGTATGCTCAGTGAACTTTGAGCAAAAGTGTTAATGCTTAGAAATTAATAGTATAACATATAGGAAAACATATAATGTATTTCTTATTATTCGGAGTCCATACTGAACTAGCTAGCCTTGAAGGGTTTTCCTTAACGTTCTGGTGGTGTAGAGTCTTCAGAACAGAGCTATCCCTTGAGTTGTTTACATTTTCTGAGCCAGTACAGACCTTCTTGTGTAGAGAAGGTTGGAGATAAAAATTCGTTTTGTATCTTTTGGTCATTATTTTTTCTCTCTACCTTAGCCCTAGGTCTTGAGACAGGTGTATAGAATGATTTAGGGCAGGAGTGTATGTGGGTTTGTTTTTTTTTTTTTTTTTATAAAGCAAATGTGGATAATGTGTGGCTGCAGTGTGTCTGAATTCTTTACTAATTCTGTGTAAATTTCAGGTGTGCAACAGAGGAACATGGCTCAAGAAACTAATCACAGCCAAGTGCCTATGCTTTGTTCCACTGGCTGCGGATTTTACGGAAACCCTCGTACGAATGGCATGTGTTCAGTGTGCTATAAAGAACATCTTCAAAGACAGAATAGTAGTAATGGTAGAATAAGCCCACCTGGTAAGTAATTCTGTCAAAACCCAGTGGTATTCATCATTGGGATGGATTTGGACAGCACGATGCACCGGATACTTTTTCCTACTCTCATATTGTGCTTATATTTACTGCATTCATATCAGGAAAATTCCTCCCTACATGTCTTCGTTGTCAGTGGTATCCTTACCCACTGAAAGTAACCAGAACAAATCCATTCCACAGCCTTACCTGCTGTGCTACAGAGCTCTGTTCTCTTATGAAAACACAAGCATACTTTGAGTATATGGGGGTATCTGGGCAAGTCAGCTGTAAAGGAGGGAGTGTTGTGAGGACCTCGGTTATTTTACCTGGGATGCCTTTTGGAGCCAACGTAGTTGTAGAAGGAAAGAGTGGGTTACAGGTGGCCCCAGCTGACTTTAGAGAGAGCCGTACGCCGTAAGGGAAGAGAGGTGCAGCAGTGTGACTGAGAGCAAGGGGTGTTCAACACTGGCTCACTTCAACTCCGGGTGCGTTCTGTGTGTCCGAGGGTTCTTTTGGGGTTGTGGAAATGGGTTTGGGGTCAGTGGTTGTATTGGAAGGATCAGGAGGATTCCGAGTGTGGGCTTCACAGAGTGTAGCAGTCAGTGAAGGCTGTTACTTGGTTCATGTAAAATTCTGTGTGGGGTCTTCTCATTGTTGCTTCGTGTTCAAGCCAAAAGCTAGAACCATTTAATCAGAATTTCTCCAAATTTTCTCAAGGCCAAGATCAAATGAATGTAAATTGTTTTTTAATTAAATCACCATCTACATTTCTGCCTTATGAAGAACAGGGAAAAGAATAACCTAACGTGCTGAGCATAGATTTCAATTCTGAACTTATGTTTGCCTCAACTGCTCCATCTTTTGGGATTTTTTTGTTTTTTTTTAAAGATTTTATTTATTTATTTGACAGAGAGAGACAGCGAGAGCAGGAATACAAGCAGGGGGAGTGGGAGCGGGAGAAGCAGGCTTCCCGCCGAGCAGGGAGCCCGATGTGGGGCTCGATCCCAGGACCCTGGGATCATGACCTGAGCC